AAAAATGAAATTCATTACACTACACTAATAAAACAAATCAAACACGCTACAAACTTGAAATTCACTACACTACACTATTAAAATGAAAACACTACACAACACTCAAAAATGAAATTCATTACACTACACTAATAAAACAAATCAAACACGCTACAAACTTGAAATTCACTACACAACATCATTAAAATAAAAACACTACACAACACTCAAAAATGAAATTCATTACACTACACTAATAAAACAAATCAAACACACTACACTACACTACACTATTAAAATAAAAACACTACACAACACTCAAAAATGAAATTCATTACACTACACTACTCAAATAAGTCAATTTGACATTTACCACACCACACTATGAAAATAACTACACCTCACTACACTTTTGACCAAAAAAAAAAAAGTTATCAATTTTCCGAAAATTGCAGGATAGTTGCTCCTCATATGCCTGACTCCATATATGTTCACGGTTTATCTGTAGCATCACTGGTACTTGAGTTATTGAGCGCGCAAAAAGCAAATCCCAAGTAAAATTTTTTGTTTTGCTCATAGCTTCAAATCTTGTTTATGAACTTTGAATTTTCAATGTTTTTCTAAACTCTCCACATCATTGTGCATGTTTTCATACCCTACAAGTCTGGTTTATCTTAACTCGTTCTATGTGTAATAAAAAGTTGGTTGTTCATCGATATTTGATGCGTTAAGCGTTTGTGTGTTTTTACAAAGTTAGAGTAGCGATTTGAATTTGATAACAATGTAAAACATATTTGACACCTTTAGACCTTATTCTGATTGTAGTTTCAAGGAATGGTTGTATAAAAAAAGATATTTAACTAAGTTGTTGTCCTATGATGCAAAAAAAACATATACCTGGGGCACCAGAGTATTCACACGTGGTCCCCCACCGCACTACTGACTCGGCCCTACAATGTTTGACTGCGCAGATCGGACGGGATGCAGTAAGTTCATTGTGGTATGGCCCCAGATAACAGTCTTTACTATTTATTGGATTAATAGATATCTTAAAATTCATTATTGCACACTTAGACTATATTATTACACATTTATTAAGAACACCCTTATAATCATGTTAAGACTTTACCTATTTTACTGTACTCTTATATGGAAAGACTTGTATTTATTCAGACCCTTATATTTAGTCAAACCCTTATATTTAATCAAACCCTTATATTTACCCAAATAATCATGAAGAGACACCCTTATATTATATGAATATATAATTAAATACAATAGTCTAATATTTAATCAAACCCTTATATTTAATTCTATCATCATATGATATAAGAACACACCCTTGTGATTAGTTGTGCGCATTGATACCTTCATATTTCAAAACCAACACCTTATAATGAATTATTAGACCCTTATAATTGATTAATTACACAAACTCATATGTGGTACCCTTATATTATAATAACCCTTATAACTAAATGCGCACTCTTACATTTAATACCCTTATATGTTATTACCAACACCCTTATATTTAATTATATATAATACCCTTATGATTTAATACCAACACCCTTTTAATACCAACACCCTTATAATTAAATGCGCACTATCACATTTAATACCCTTATACATTTAATACCCTTATATGTTATTACCAACACCCTTATATGTTAATACCAACACCCTTATATCTTATAATTAAATGCGCACTCTCACATTTAATACCCTTATAATTAAATGTGCACTCTCACATTTAATACCCTTATAACTAAATGTGCACTCTTACATTTAATACCCTTATATGTAATTACCAACATACATTTAATACCCTTATATGTAATTACCAACACCCTTATATTTAATTATATATAATACCCTTATGATTTAAATATAATACCCTTATATGTTAATACCAACACCCTTATATGTTAATACCAACACCCTTATAATTAAATGCGCACTCTCACATTTAATACCCTTATAATTAAATGTGCACTCTCACATTTAATACCCTTATAACTAAATGTGCACTCTTACATTTAATACCCTTATATGTAATTACCAACACCCTTATATTTAATTATATATAATACCCTTATGATTTAATACCAACACCCTTATAATTAAATGCGCACTCTCACATTTAATACCCTTATATGTTATTACCAACACCCTTATATTTAATTATATATAATACCCTTATGATTTAATACCAACACCCTTATAATTAAATGCGCACTCTCACATTTAACTTATAACTAAATGCGCACTCTTACATTTAATACCCTTATATGTTATTACCATTACTCTTACATTCAATCATATATAATACCCTTATATTTATTTAAACTCAATACCCTTATATGTTATTACCAGCACCCTTATAATCAAATGCGCACTCTACCCTTATATTTAAATATATAAGTCTTATATTTAATTGCACCACATTAGAGTCTTATAGTCAATACCCTTATATTTAATTACATTAAATGCGCACTCACATCATCACCACCCTTTATGA